CCTCCTATTCCATTCCTACTCTCTACTAACTGGAATTCCGGGAACCAATTCCTACCAATTCCCAGGGATTCCCAAAATTCCGTCCTATCCCGAGACTGAGTGATCACCCGATTATTCTCATTTCACGCCCACATCCTGCGCTAACAGCTTTTTACTAATTACTTGTATATTTTTGCCATCATCGAACTGCTTGTGTTGAGTATGGTGTTCGGTCTTCGTCCACGTACATACATAAATTTGTCCGCAACAAGAATTACTATGTTAATACTCATTGCATGGTGGATTACATACGGATATTTTCATATAACAAAATTGATTCAATCGAAAAAAAGAAATCTGTTGTTTATTCAAAACAATACTGCAACTGGTTGATCATAATAATTAGTTCAGCATTTGCTATAAAAGCATGATCTAGAATTAGTTATTATCTCAATATTTTCAATTTCATAAATCTACAATTACTTTAGATAATTTTGTCAGGTGAATTTTTCTCACTTGTCAAATATTCGATCGATCATTGCTCTTTCAATCGCTGTTGATCTGTTCATAATAAAAAGATGAAGAAAAGCTTGATTCGAAGATAGTCGAACCAGTGATTGAATCTCTTTCGAATTGTTTCTTTTCTGAAATCAAAGTTGATTTTGTTGGCTTTCCAAAGAATGATTCGCCATCGTCGAATGAAGTACGAAGTTTTTGTTTGTTAAGTATGCCTCATTTCTCAGAGAGAAAGTCGACATTGAACAGTAAAACAAAGATGCATTGAATGAAGTCGTATTGAATTTGTCAAAAATCATCTTGATCGAAATCATGTCCAATTGAGATTTCAATCAAATTAAGAATCAATTTGAAGACACAAATGAGAGTCATTGAAGATTATTTCATTTGATCTTATTTGTGCAGATATTCGATGAAACAAATAAAAACGGTTATTTTGTTTCTTTAGCAGTTGCCATCAATGGATCAGACATGACATATATCTATTTTATCTTTTCGGATCTAATTGACATGAGATGATGAGATTCATATTGATATTTCCATAGTCTGCTTCGATTTCTAAATATCGAATACTTGAATCTGCCATTCATCGATTCGTCCAAAAAATAATGGGTATACAAGACGTTTCTGATTACATCTAATGAACATCGTGGACTAGTCATATTGATCGTCGTCAATCTTTTCCTTTTATTTTTCCTATCTTTCAATTAATTCATAGGTATAAAAGTGCAAAAGAAACGCATCTCTTTTTCATTCATTTCATCTCAAATGGCAATCAATATCGACTGGGAACATATGACTGAAAACTCACTTGATGAAGAACTCTTTTGTCCTATTTGTACTGATCCATTCGAAGAACCTGTCTGTGCTAATCAATGTGGACATACATTTTGTCGTAGATGTATTATTAATACTTTTCGTATAACATCACAATGTCCAACCTGTCGTCATACATTAACAATCGACGATTTTCATCCAGTTACGACACGTCCTTTTCTCAATCAACTGAACAAAATTCTTGTTAAATGCAAATGGTGTTCACAAAGTAACATTCAACGAGGTGATTTCAAAGATCATATCAAAACATGTACAAAAATGATTATATCATGTCCAGCAGCTGATATCAACTGTGATTGGAAAAGACAACCTGATCAAATGCAAGATCATGCCGAAGTATGTTCATTAGTAAAAATTCAACCAACAATAGTCAAACTCAAGACAAGTAAAACAACAATCAAAACAAATACGTTTTCTCTATACAATACTCAAGAAGATATCAGAAAATCACAAAGAAGAATGTCAAGAAGTCTACACAAAAAATGGAATAATTTACTGTGATGTATGCGAAAAAGAATTTACAATTAATGAACACGATAAATGGTTACATTTTTGTCCTGAAGCAGACATTTGTTGCAATTGTGTGAAAAAGCATTTTTCATAAAAATAAAAATTTTACTTTCATGAATATATTCGATAAGAATTATCAATAACGAATAACAACAATATTGATACTTTTTTCGGTTTGTTACTGTTCAGACAAATCATATGAAGATATTTGCTGATAATCAAGGAAACAATATTTAATATTCTACGACTACTTCGAACGAAGGTTTTAAATGCTTTTTGTTTATCAATATGATGAAGCAAAAGAAAAAGTATATTATATGAGAGAAATATAGAACAATACAGTCGTTGAAATTTCTTAGAGTACAAATCATATATGATGTTGATAATACACGAAGACATGATAACTTCTAATTTCCAGAAAATTCAAATATCGTCACATTGTGATATGCTAGATGACATAGGTTATAGAGTTTTTTTTGTAACTATCTGTATTAAATATCGAATAATGAGGACAAAGACTCAGTTTTTTACCAATAAAAGTCCCTACTTTGTGGTTAGATTTGAAAGTGTGAGAGAATTCATTTTCATTAGACGACTGTATAGAAATGATATTTATCTTTTATGTTTCAGATGGATTCGAGCAAGAATATATGATATATCGTGGTCGGGAGTAAGGAATTATATAAATTGATGTTTTTATTTCCGATAATCTGCCTTGTTGTTTACAAACGATATATCAACATTTTTCTTCAAGGCAAAAAGAGGACATCAAGGAAGAAAGCAAGTTTCTTATTTTTTTTTTCATTATGACATCTCTCGCAAGAGTATATTTAAAATTAGGTTTAATTAATATTTTAATGGATAGATTCTAAATAAAAGTAGTTCTAATACTTCAGAAACGCGAAGGTTTAGATAAATTAGACAATGAAATAATTAATTTAAATCAAGTAATAAGTCTTCACCTGGTTGATAATCATTAACAATAAGAACATTCCGATGTATGATGTTCAATCGATGACATCGAAGAATACAATTGAGTTTCTTGACTAAACAAGAGTTAATTAGTAAATGAATAAGTTTATGATATGAAATATCAATCGATTCGTGTGTTAAATGTTTGACTTGTTGAGGGGGTATTTTAACATTTTGATCATGTACATCTTGGTTGTTCCAATAATGTAGCATTGATATAGATCAAATACTTAATGGTGAAGTAGGAAAGATACTTTCTGTTTCGATCAATCGTATTATTTGAAGATTAATAAATTTTTTTTCAGAATTCGTAAAATAGTCGAGGAAAAGTTGAAATTGATTCGGCATGTTTTGACCGAAAAGAATAAGAGATATAACTTGTTCAAGTTGAGCGTAACGACAAATAAAATTCAAAAACGAAAATCTATTCGAAATGGGTATGAGTGAATAATAATTAACATTTAATCGATCATTCAGATTAAAAAAGCTTTTAAAAGATTCGATGAAGTTAATTAATAAAAAATTTCATTAAAAATCTCTATTGAGAATAATTCAAGATATGATTTCATCGTCTAAAAATTTGTCATAATAACTTTGATTCACTCAATTGTCTATTAAATCATGAGATGTCTTATCAAAATAAAAGACTCGTAATATGTTGTGGGTGTGGGTGTGGGTATGGATGGGGTGTGTGGGAGTGGGTAGAGGTGTGGCTATGACTTCAGTTGCACCCACACCCTTCGAACAGAGCAAATTCAGTTAGTTGAGGATATGATAATTTACGTGGTGAATAAAGATATGCTGAAAAAGAAAGAGAAAATAAATTTGATAAATAGAAATATCTTTGAATTAAAGAGTAGAAAAGTTTACGGATCAAAATGATCAATCTAACCTATTGACGAACTTACACATATTATTTCATCAGCTGGAATCAAATCGAATTCTGATAGGAGTACGAACGATTCCTTATTGAATCGAAACAATTTATTATGAAATTATAAACATTAAGTTTTCAGTTTCAATAAGAATATTTATTTTAATCGATAGATATGATACAAGCAAAAACATTCATCGAAAAAAGTTATGTTATTCTAAGGTTGTATGGCTCTTAGCTTTCGGCTTCATCTTTTGATAATAAGAAGATTTTTCGACTTATCTATGGGTATTTATCAAAAAAATCAAACTATTAGATTTCGATTTGAAATTCTGTCCAACAGATAGATGAAATGATCGAATTTAGGTAAGTATTCGATATCTCGACAAAAATACGTTTGGTGTAGCTGAAACGTTCAAAGTATTTTAATCCTTGTCAGACTTATCCTTGGACAAAATTTCAGATCGAAATCTCGTAGTTTGATTTTTCAGTGAACATATGTAAATTGGTCGACAACTCAGTAAATCGCTCATAATTTCTGTTCAATAAACTATAAATATCAAACTTTGTTGAGTTCTCTTAGTCTAACTGAAGCCTACTTATAGTAAAAAGATGAAATTGAAAGCTCTGAATCGGTTAGGATGGTTCCCCAGACTTCGAATAAGAATAATTATGTGCTATATTTCAACATATATCTTGTTCCCCTGATGAATTTTTGCCGAAAATATATTTCTATATAATGAACACCGTTCAGTTCTGGTTAATGAATACTATATCGGATTCCTTAGTCAAAGAAAACCTTCACATAATGAACATACCTCCAACCATGCATGCAGGTGTCTTGAAACAATAGAAAAAAAATGTGGAAACCTCGGATTTAAATCCGAGAATTATGTGTACTTCAAAAAGTAAATTAGACAGTTGAGTCATTCTAGAATGTGTGGACATCAAAATTATCCTGGCAAATCTTTCCTATAAACACTTGGCTTTGTTGGCTATTGCTCACCCAATATGACTTGGAGGCGAATACAGCTCAGATTCGAACTCGTCGTCTTGATCTACGCTAAGAAAGTCGTTTTTTCTATCACTTGATTTATATTGGTTACCCCTCAACCAATAGGATTTCGAGGTAAGTGGAGTACAGATTCGAGTTCTCGAGCCTAGAAAACCTCAAAGAATCATCTTTGTGATCAGAAGATTGAGCTCTAATTATGGATCAATTAGAGCGTGGACGAAAACAGAATCTATTTCCGTCTGATTATCTTGGCAATAGGTGAGTTAGCCTTCGTGTTTCTTTATGTTTCATATACCATTTTATAGCTCGTGAAATTCTCTATCGAATGGTATATAATAGTTGGAGTTTTATTTGATTATGATAGTAAAAGTTTTTTACGAAAGTGAGAATAGGTCGATTTTCCTATAGGAAGCCTTAGGGGAAAATGACTATTTTTGCAATAACTCAGGAACGGCTGGGCCAATCACACTCATCTTCGAAATCGACCGAAATATNAATATTCAAATAGCCAATATATGTGAGTTTAAAAGGCAGAAGCGCACATCAAAAGTTTGCTCGCATGATTCTCATTACAAAGTTAAAGAGTGGCAAGTGCAACTATTTTTTGTTTACTCTTTTTCATTTCATTATCGTGCTCTAGATATTGTCAAGAGTAAATGTTTCTTTTCACACAACTGTTATGATTTCTTTTGAAGATGTTTTTCGAATGAAGCAGAAAAGTAACGCAATTTTAGTTATTAGATGATGTCTAGGGCTATCGTATAAGGGTACCTACACCGTAAATCTCCTATGTTTGTAGTGAGGGTGTTGCTGCGGATGTACATCTTCATTTGATCTACACCTACAAACACTTTCCACATGCATACTCGAGACTATATCCGAATAAGTGACAAAATCTTTAATTTTCATTTCAGATTTATGAAAAATTTTCATATTCTCGATGTTTTCGACTCGCTTCATCGTGGTGTCCTTTGCAACTTCGAATTATTCGCTTAAATTCTTCTTCTTCTCTGTTTTCTAATCTAGTAGCATCCACGAGCTCTTTCTCTCGTCTTTTCTCATTATTTATGATTTCAATCCATTTCACTTCATTGCGTTTCTTGATCATGAAACATTCATTTTCATCACTCATATCTTCTCCATTCGCTTTTCACTCTGTTCTATAATTTATTATTATCTACATGTTGGTACCGACCGAGTCAGAATAATCATGACACTTTTATTTTGCACATATTTTTTAGCAAAGAGAAAAGATAAAATTCTGATTTTTTTGAAAGATACATCATTGAATTCTCTGAAGACTCAAAAGAAACAAAATCGTGTGACTTCTTCGGAACATTTTTTCTAAAACCCAAAATGATAATTTACGCGATGCTGCTATCAACATAAAGAAAGCTTATCGTTATGCATGTCAATTAAGTCAGCGCTTCGAAGAGTAACTTCAAAATTGAGAAATAACAGAATCGCGAAAATCGTTTCTTTGGACTCATCCAAATATTTATCATAAAAGGTCAGACGAATTCACATCTGTGGAGTTTATAGAAAATTGAATGGGTCATCTTTTAAAATATTCATAATTGGATCCTGTTTTTTTTTGTATTGAAATATATCCATAATTATGGCGTCGCTAACATTTTAATTCACTCATTACTGTTGAAATGAATTTCTTTCATCTCTCTGAATAGCAACACAGCCGCTACCCGATTATAGGCTATAGTTCTGAAAGAAAAATGTGGAAGTTCAAAGGAGTTGTCATTCACACTTTCTTATTAGACGATTATCAATGCAAGGATACTTGTTCAAGACAATAATGCAAAAAAAGATGACTCTTTGAACAGGTTCATACTACGTGTGATTAAAACCCTATTACAATATCATTTAAATAATATTTCAAATAGGAACAGAAGACTTTTATATGAGTGAAAGCGTCTCATCAAGAAGCATGCTTATTCCTATTAATAAGAATCCTTGAAGGACTTGATGAGATTTTCCCGACATTTCATTCTGTTTGCGTAGGGTAAAAAGTCAGTTAAAGAAACGCTAGATGACTTCCAAGTCTTTAAGGAAAATTTATTTGCGAGAAAAAAGTAATGCAATTCAATCTTTTATCGAGGTAATAGAACTCGATGATAGGTTGCACAGGCAAAATTCAGATCAAACATCGGTGATTTATTGATGTGGCTAGTCATAGAACTAGGTAAAAGTCTCAAGGATATAAGATTTATGGCGCCCTGCACAAACTGAGACTGATATTGAGGTTCAATGCCTCTCAATCAGATTTGAGGAAAATTTAACTGCTGCATTTTGCGTTAAGTATGCTAGTGAACTACGTTAGAACGACTTCGTAATTTCAACGACATCTGGAGCTAGAACGTCCAATTTAAACACCACTCTTGAGATTTTTCTCCATATTTGCTACGCGACTGCTAAGTCAATATTAGTCATAGTTTGGTAGAATACATCAATATTATTCTTACTTTGATGTTCATTCGATCGTTTATAAAGTCATCTTAGGATAGGACGAGACACTTAGTACTCATCATTTAAATTCTCAATTATTTATGTCCGAATAGGAAACTTCAAGAGAGATTTTGCTTTAATATTATCTTGCATATAATCTTTTACGAAAAGCTTTTGCACATTATATTCGGATAGATTGCCGTATGCTTGCAGAAATGTTTTTTCTCTTTCTGTCTAAAACTAAAAATCTTGTCACTGAATGATTATTTCGGGTTAAAATGCAGAGCTTACATCTGATTCTCTGTACGACTACAGATCATATCTTAGAGGTGAAAATTTTCTGTCTATAGAATAGTTGTTGATGAAGAGGAGTACGCATCGATCTATTTGATCTGGTGAAATATCTTATGCATTCTTCTGTTGTCTATTTTTTGAAGCTCGTTGTAAAAATAGTGAATGTAAGTTTATATCCGAAAACTAGCTGCTTCCTCTGACAGACATTATCCATAATGAACGAAAATGATCGAGCATGAAATCGAGAGAAAGCAAAACAATGAGCTCAAATTAGAAACGATCGGTAGCAGCGTAGTAACAATTGAAATGAACAAATGGCGCCTAGAAGATCAAACAATTGAGAAAATATTCGAAATTAACAGAGAGAAAGAGAGCAAAACTGATTCTCTCTTAAATGTGCACTGTAGTTCTAAGGGTGATAGTACATAAGTTTCATATTTTAGCCCCATCGTGGCTGCACTGTAAAGCTTTTTTTCTCAGCATTTATTGGTCTTCTGCTAATTACTTGCTGCTTTCAGTATGTTTTGCGCTTGTCGTCGTTTTATTTTTGAATTTCCTACTTGTAATACTCTTATGCCTATTTGGTAACGAACCACTGAAAACTACTTTCAAAGTCGCCCAATTATAGAAATAGCGCAATTCGTAGTGCTTTTCCGCCATTTTACAACCATATTTCAATCAAGAGAGCTCATCTTCAGTCTTTTGTAGACTGACTCGTCAGATTATGCTAAAATCTTGCTGTTCATTCAAGTCAATATCGATTCTGATATTAATACCATTGCTTTACAATAGCGATCAGTTGAATTCTTTATGATCTAGGACGCTTCCATAGTCCATGTACTGACTCTACAGTACTGGATAGAGTATTTCTTTTTTAGAAACACGAAAATGAAGTAGCATTCATTTTGTGTGATTTTACGCCAAAATAATACCAAACCCATAACTAGATCAGTGCTCAGGCACTTAGATAACTCGTTCAGTCAAAAATGTCTTCAGAAAAGTTAACATAAAAAAATACAGCTCATGCAGTGAACAGGAACTTTTCAACATCATTAGCATTCCTATATTCGTTGGAACAATGACTAGCTATCTATTTCCCTAAAGCTGTTTCTGCCGAAAGCTACATCAGTATTACTGTATTTTCCACTAAGGATGGAAGTAGGAATATAATACATCGAATATTGAAGTTGTCGTTCTTCAGACAGCCCAAATAATGAAATCTCACCGTATCACATGCTGAAAAATGATAAGCCCAATTCCATATATACAGAACTTAATGAATGGAATCTAGATTATGCCGCCAAGATTATGAAAAGACGAGATGCTTCAGTTCTAAACCTCCATTGTTACTAGATCATTCGAATGTCATAAAACAATCCTTCAATCATTGCGTAACAAAATTTTGAAGACATCATGTTTATTAATGAGAAGAAAACCTACAACGAATTGTTGTTCAAGTGTTTCACACATATACGCGATGAAAACAATTAATGTATTGGAATACATTGTGCCAAGAAGACAAAGACATTAAACAACTGAGCTGCTATAAAGGTGTTTCGCATCTTAGTTAGTAGAAAGTGACATATTTAAATAAGAATGGTTTTTGTAATTTACCAAGAGTAGATTTTTGGTGATCCGTGGTTTTGCGCATATACTATAGTTTACTGGAAAGAATCAGTGTCTATCAGAAGGTGTAGAAGATAAGAAGAAAATGCAGAAAATGCACGAATATTAACTTATCCTTATTGTGTATTATAGAGAGTTTCATAAAATGCCATCAGTTCAAGTTGATACCCTCGAAGAAAGTAACGCTCATGCAGTACAAGTAAACCATCGAGCAGCGAACGGTTTTAACAGAGCACCATCGCTACCAGTTCGTTTGATTTGTGAAGCGATTGGCACATGCTGCTTTGTCCTTTTCGGTGCTGGCTGTGCAACAAAACCAGGATCTGGTCTATTAGCGATCTCTACTGCTCATGGCATTGTCACAGTCTGGCTCGTGTACGTATTTGGATCGGTGTCCGGTGCCCATTTCAATGCTGCGGCCACTATTGCTTTTACAATAAATGGTCAAATGAAAATACTTGATGGATTACTATATATTGTTGCTCAAGCATTTGGCGCCCTACTTGCTGGAGCACTATTACTATTACTGTACTATGGCAACGATACCAAACTAGGTACACCAGAATTGGCATTACTACCCTATCCAGTTACGGTTATACAAGGCTTTTTCTTAGAATTCATCTGTACAGTCGTTCTCTCCTTTGTCATTTTCTTTACGACATCGTACAACACACACAAGGAAGCGGCTCTTCCAATTGGACTGGTCGTTTTCTCTTCTTTTTTGCTTGCTTCTGATCGAGATGGTGCAGCTCTTAATCCTTGGAGATGGTTAGGACCAGCGGTTGCTTCGAACACGTATAGCAACTATGCCTGGATCTATTCAGTTGGACCTATTGGCGGGTTCATCGTTGGATTAGCGTTTTTCCGAGTCTACAAACTTATTTGGAACAAGTAATTGGAAGAAAACCTAAATATTTAAATACCGCAAGATTTTTTCTTACGTTAAAGATGAAAAAATAACTGGGCTTGAAGAACAGATATCTATAAGACTTTCTACTTGACAAAAGACCAGATCTTATATGTATTTCGTTTTGATTATTGTATCGTCATATCTTTGTAATTATTATGAATAAAAACAACGTCTCGAGCAGTGGCATATGCTCGTACCGAAGATTAATTCGAATGATTCTTGAAAATAGTAATAGTAGAGGGCGGCATCTGAGTGTCGAACCGGGTGTGAATCTTCGCGTAGATCTTCTCTTCACCCACACCCGAAATTGAGGCAAATAACAAAGGAGAAATCAATTCATAATAAATTATACTCGTGAGAATGGAATGAAACAATTTGAAAAACAATTTCATTCATTATGGAATCAAATATCTAAGGAAACGCTTGCAATGAATCTGAGAGTTACACTTGATTATCACAATAATCATTTCCTAAATTTTCTACGTATTCATAAAAAACCTACTGATTCACTCTTGCAACTAGAACAAGATATTTCATCACTAATTCTTAAAGCTAGGAATCATACATTCCTTCGAGTTCACGAGAGTAATCTTCAGAACCAACCAACGACACATTATCTTCAACATTTACAACAATGTAAACTGATAAAATACATCACAAGATGTTCTTCCCGATCAATAAACATATCTCTTATACATTGTATTTCTGACAGAAAAGTATCACCGTAAAAACTGACTATCTTTAATTGTTGAAATGAAGCCATCTAACGAGACCCTTCAATAAGGTGAAAACGCGTAAAAAAATTGGCATACTTTGTCCTTTAAAATCGATCAACATTTTGTTTGGAATGATGTCGTGAACTATTACTTACAATATATTAGACAATAGAATGACATTTGCTCTACAAAACTAAATATTAAATCTTCCAATCTGCATTGAATATGAACTGTCAATCTCGAAAAACAAATAATCGAAAAATAATGTTTGACTTCTTAGTCTTATCTTTATTCATGAAATCATTTATAGTTTCATAAATGAATTTCTTCTTCATTCTATTTTGTACGAAATGGTTCAAGCGAGCAACTGTTCATTTCCAATCCATGATATAGAAACACTTGAATGATTTATATTGAAAGTGAACGAATGAAGTTATTCAGCTAAAGTTCTAAACCATTGACTGATCCTCACATTGTCCTGAAGGTCGTTTCTCGTAATAGCGGTTGCAAGTTTCAGATTGTGACGCAAAGAGGGTCATGCAGCAACCATAATATGGAAGAAGATCAGCAAAAATGTGTTTTCCCTGTTGAATGATGTCACCCAGTGGGGTTTCTTTATTAACTGTACCAGCATCGAGCCATGGATCTGAAATTCATTGACGGAATTTATCATAACATGCTGGAGTCCCAGGTTCCATACTTTTTAATGCGTTTCGATAACAGCAGTAAATACCGACATGCAATGAGCATGTGTGAATGTGGGATGTCGATGAAGAGAAAATATACACTCATACCCACCCACCCTCACATATGCTTAAATCGAACTTTTAGTTCATCGGACTGTTATATATACCTAATGATACATCATCCCTGCGGAAAACTATTCTCGATGCTAAAAGCTTCTATTATTTTTTTGTAAGTCATGAATATCAGCTGAGTTTAATCTAAGTGTTAAATATGAACAAAAAAGAAATAGTTTCATTGATCAATTAAAAAAGAAAAGCGCGTTATTTATTTATCGAAATATGCATAAAATCTGAGGTGAAAAAAGAAATGTCTATCAATCATGTTTCGAAATGTTACTAGTGCACAGGAAGCTATTGTTCATAGACAATCAGAAAATAGTTTATCAAACGAAAAAAATCAAATAAAATTAATTAAAGATGTTCAATCAGATGATATAGCTCAAAAATATTCAACATTAAAAGTCAAATGGTTTCATCAACGTGAACAACTAATAGAAAATTTAAAATATCTTGAAAAACATAATGCATTTCCACATGAAATTCAACATGCAAAAAATCTTATTGAATGTCTTAATGAACTTATAGAAAATGGTGAAATGACAAAAAATTGTCAAACATTAATTAATGATATGAATAAAAATATTCATGTATTACCAGATACATATTTATTAGCTAGAAAACCATTAGGAGATAAAATGATACGATTACCAAGACATATTTCAAAAACTACAACGAATATATCACATCCATTAAAAAAATTATCATCAGAAATTCTTCATATACAACGATCAAATGAAAAATTACCAAATCAGGTAATCTATTAATATCAAAAGAATTCAGAAAAATTGTAGCCAATCACTAAAGTACTTTTTTTTTGTTTTATTATTATAGATATTGCATAGACGAAAGAAAACCTATGTATTTATTCTTTTGTTTTGTTTTATATCCAACAAATTTTATTTAAGCTTATTCCACAGATATATCTAAATACTTTTTAAGTCTCAGAAGTTCATTAAGAATTGCATTACAGTTGTAATTGGTCCCATCGGTTTTCATCGATGAAAAGAAAGAATTTAAATATGTTATTTTTCTCTAGTGAAATATATTGAAAGCAAGTTTAAACACCTGTATCAAATAAATAAAATAGTACTGTGTGAAAAAACTATCGATGGTATTTTGTTTTTGTTTTTGTTCATCTACACTCTTGTATTAGAATATTTTACTTGTTCAAGCTTGAATCCTCAATAGAATTTCTTCGGCAAAAGCCGAGTGAAAAAAAAATTCAAGATTTGAAGTTTAGCAATAGATGACTTTTTTGCATATTAGAGAAACATCATGGTTGTATCTCTGGAAAACTTTAAAGGTATGAGTGCTTTAACACGATATATCATCTTGAAGGTTTATAAAAGATAAGCAAAAAAAAAGAAAACGAAACAGTCGTGTTCTTTTTTTAAGTCGTCTCTTCGGCAAGTTATCGGACAAACCGTTCGAAAACTCTGAACCAAATATCGCTTTGAGTCACATTCAGTCTTTAGCAATTTCATAGTGTGAATCTTTAACAATACGGAGTGAATGATTGGTATATTTGGAAACTTTATAATTAGTGCACATGAATCAAATGTATCTAATATCCTTACTCTACTCAATCTTGTAAGATAGAATAGGAATAACTCTGCACATCTCTAATGTCGACTACTACTAATACTGTCCAAGTGATCTTGAACAAGAAGCTTCATGAGTTGAAATTTGTCTTGTAAATTCATAAACTAAAGCCAGAAATAAGATAACGATTAGAAACGTTTCTTTTTATGCACATTACATTTCATTGAAGCGTTCGACAGTGAAGTTTTATAAATTAATACTTAGTTTTAATCTTAATAAATAAAATTAACAACTCAATTTATTCTTAGATTGATCTTCATGTAAATTCCACAGTGAAACACGTAGACAAAACATTCGATAATGATGAAATGACAACATCTAATATATCTACTGAAAAAATCAAAAGTGGTATTCAATTTTATGTTGTTGCTGAACAGTTTCGTAATCAAATAGATACAAAAACTAGAAAAAAACGTTATTTATCATCATCCATAATAGAGTGACATCTAGAATTTCTTATGTTAAAAATAAATAAATCAAGAATTTCATTATCTAAAATAAATAATCGATCAAAAAACATTAATAATTTCTTTATCACTGTTCTATTTTCCAGTATAGCACCATGAGATATGCTCTATTTAACATCATATGTTGTATTTGATTTAAATCGATGATTGTTTTTTAAATGTAAATTGTCAATCAATATCAATAATGTTACACGGAGCTATGTCGCATTCATCGGAGCAAATCACCACACATGATAAAAATTTATCAATGAATGGTCGATTAACTCCAATCGGTGGTGCTTCATCGGATACAGAATATGACACAAGGTCTTGAGCTTTTTCAAATTTTCAATCTTTTATTTTCTAATTTAAAAAAAAATTTATAGTGATAATGAAGAATTCAATGAAAATATTCCATTATTTAAAGAACATGAAAAATTAATTTCTTCACTTGCAGCACTAACTTCTCATTTAGCTCATGTACAATTACGTTTACAACAAGTTATATCTGCACCAACACCTGAAGATCGTGAAGTAAAATAATAATAGGATTTTTATTTTTATAGCATTTTCTTTTTCTATAGAATTTACTTACAGAATTACAGAAATTCGCTTCCAGTGGTATACCTGATGTAATGTGTCAATCATCAGTGTTTAAAAATGATTGTACACGTGAACAATTAATTGAAGCAGAAAAATGTCGGGAAAAAGAATTTATTAATGAACTAAAACAAAAATTAGATGAATTAGAACATTATGCATTTGCATCGGGTTCACTTGAATGCGCACCAACATTAGTCATCATGGAAAAACAACGTGTACTTATTGATGAATTACGTCAAAAACTTGATTTACAATTAGATGACGATGCCGTTTCAAAATTATCGTTCGTATTATAAATCGAATTTTTTTTTGCTTATTTTTCTTTTGTTCATTATTTAGAGCTGAAGAATTAAGAAAACTTGTTGATCAAAGTATTTATCAGGTAAGAATATATCCAATGGAAGAAATTCTATATTTATCATTCAATCATTTCATCTGAAAAGACAAAAATCTTTTGAAATGTATTTGAATAAGGTTGAGCTGAATGATCATGTAATGAGACAGAATCGACAAGATGGTCCTGGTAGCATTTTTTTTGTTAAGAATTACACTATAATTTTCATATGTGTTATTCTGTTGTGATAAAGAGTCTGGAAATCGACTTTTTTTTATTTAAAAATTCTATTACTAATCTCGATTTTGTTTTCAAGAATCGGAGTTTTTCAATAACTGCTATAGACTTTGGACAATATACTGTGGCATATTAAGACTGAAAATATTAATTAACTAGACAAATTACAAGAAATCTGATAAAGAAAGATGTAAATCGTTGGTTTTGAGGAAATATTGAGGACGCGAGTAGCTTCATAGTTGAACTTACTAGTATATAACAAGAAAAAAGCTCTGATACTTGTTTAAAATTAAAAAAAAATAAACATACCAGTCCTTGGTCCTGAAACTCCTGAGTTTCAATACATTCAAATCGACTGTTGAAGTAACTTATTGAATCACATGATCAGAGGCTGAAAAAAATTTACAATAAAGAAATGTTTTGTTTTGCGCATCTCTAACGTTGATACATGCATGTAAAGCAAGACTCGCACCACGTCGTAAAGTGTCAAAATTATTCATGTTCTCTAACATCAAATGTGTCGCGTCTGTCCTACATTGTGACATATTTTCAAAATGTGGTTCGAGTTTATCTTTCGACAAGTTTTTCTTTTTTTCTGCATAAGTGAAAAATGATAACTTTTCAGTTTCATTGGAATTAGTAATACCTATTCTTGGAGTCCAAGATGATAAGATCTAGACCGTTCAAGTGAAATTTTCAATTTCTGAATATTTTTGAATGATGACTAATCGAAAAATAATTCAGACTAAAAAATATGAAAATGGGTAACTTAAGCACGTTCAACTGAGTCGATTATATATGTAGATGTCTGTACAAAACAGAAGAATGAATGAATATTTAGTCGATAGACTGCGACATATTTTATTCTAGTATGTGCAGATTTTACGTGTTTTCAAGAACTATAAAGATTAATAAAAGAAAAATGCGTATTTTTTAGAAGCGAGATCAATACCAAGATCAGTACAAAAAGTTTTAATTAGAATGGAGACTAGAGAAAAAGTGATTTTACGAGTATCTACTAACAACTGAACATCTTCAACTCTCGAAGGCTTTGTGAGCTCATATCTTGGTATGAAAGTAAAGTCTATGACTTTATGAATCAGCTTTGACAAACTATGAATTAAACTCTATTAAGCTTTCCGTAATGTCATAGCAATCGAAGAAAAGGTAATAGATTAAGCAAAATAGCATGCAACAGTTGAAACATATTTTCCATTCATCAACATTCTCGTTATTGAACCAGAAGAGAAAATTTTCTCACGGAAATAGCGAGCAACCCATAATAAATGGTCACACTTTATATTTCACATTTTAATCCCTAAATATATTTTATTTAAAAAAACAAACGGTATTACAAGATGCAGCATAAAAAGCTCTACAATCTACAACGGACAGCTTATCTTTATTGTGTACCTTTTGTTTTTAAAATAAGCAAAATTCTGTGCGACCAATTGTCGATGGAAAACAATTCTATTCATTGACGAAAAGTATTTCTCATTAGAACATGTTTATACTACAAATTAATAAGAAACAGACCAACAAGGAGATATATATAAACTAAAAGGCGAAGAATCCACAAACGACTATGGTGGTATGGTTAGATGTATCTAAAAAATGGTCTTATGTCTTCTATTAAATTTAAATATGGTAAAATGTTATCATATAAAAATTAGTTGTCCGTTGACAAGAACAACCTGAAGGCAAACAGCTCCTAAACGACGATTTCGCCTGCCAACAAGACACTATTTTTCAGTATGACCTGGCTTCACCTACAGGATGAATCAAACCAACTGATAATTCTGTTTTTGTAAATCTACTAACTTCTGTAGTCCTATTATGGTATATCATTGTAGTTTCAGTTATACACTTAATTTATTTTCATGAAGATAATTTATTGACAAGTTCTTGAACAAAATGATGAGTTCAAACGAAGAGATAAGTTATCAAAAATATTTCTTATACAAGAAACAGTAGATTTATCGAAATCTTCATGGTATGAAGAGGATTTGATTCATTTTATAAACAATCACAGATGGTTACCAAATAATCCTGATCCCAACGTTCTGGATTATTACGTATGGGATGCTATTTTCAATAAAATGCAATCGGATAAAATAAAAAACTATAATTCATTAATTGATGAAATACAGAAAAATGAATTCATCGTTTACCAATAAATGATATTGTTCATAGTATCGAAAATTGGTCGCACAGATTACTGTTCAATGAACGCATGCATCAGTACCCTTCTCAATGAATCTACAAAATGAAATAAACTTCGTTTTTGTTCTCGTTAGAAATTTACAATTACAAGATGTCGTGGTTAAATCAGTAGAATATAAAAATAAGCATTCATAGGATATACCTTTTTTTGGTTTCATAATATCATATAAATCATAGTTTATGAAATTATTTTCGAAAAATATATAACTATACATTAGTTAGTGTCCAATCGTTGATATGAATAATCTATCAGTATATCGATGTTCACCAGTGTAAGACACTTCTCATTATATATTCTGTCGTATATTATTGTGAAAATTATTCATTGAAATAAAAGTTTAATTTTTCTAGTTAACTAATCCAGTAAAATTAAAAGAAAAGTTAATAAATCAAATGCGTACAGAAATAGGTGATCTGGAAAACTTTATTGAATTTCTCAAAGGTAATATTAATTTTATTTGTCTAGATTCTTTTTAGTAAATCTTAATTGTAGCTGATTCTGCTAAGAAAACAACTAATGCATCCATTACATCTGCTCCTTCATTAACTTCAACGAGTATTGATTTATCTTCTACAACTAAATCAAAATCCGTACGTCCAAATCTTCGAAAATTTCTTTATTATTATTTATCTATTTTTAAGCACACAAAATCCACAAGAAGAAGTCAATCATCAAGAATGACTGAATCAACAAATACATTTTCATCTTGTTTTCAATATAGACATAATTCACTAAATATATTTCAATCAATAAAAAGTTTTTTTATTTTAACTCAACTTTATACAATTTTTTTATTAACATGTGGAGCGAGATCAATGCAAAGAACAACCCATCAATCAACTAGAATTATACGCAGAGATCCTATTTCAAAGAAACATTTTGGGTAAATCAAATATCAAAAAAAATTTTATTTATCACTTTTTAATGTTAAAGTAATCTTCGAGCCGACCTTGAAGTTGCTATTGAAAAAGTTCTTTATACAGTACAATCAAAATATTTAAATGATGATAATAAAAATAAAACAACTGATAGTAGTGAATATAAAGTAAAAATTAAAAAAAAGAAATCTTTTATATTTATTTTGTTTTTGCTTTGATTATATTTAGGAATATGGTAATTCATTTGAGACTATTTTATCTGTGCGACAAGATCTTACGCCTGCACTTCGTGCATTACTTGAACATGGTCTTTATGAAGTATAATAAACAGAAAGATATTGAAATTTTTGATTAAACTATTAATACATATAGACAAATTCTTCAACAAATTTATCGTTATGGATATGTTTTCCACTATCATTTGTTAGCAATTATTCGACGAAAGAGGAGACAATGCATATTTGGAAATTAATTTTAAAATATTATGATATGAAAGTAAAAGAAATTCAAATTATTTAAATAAATTTATTTTTCTTTATTTCTTTGAAGAATGGATATGAATTTAAAAATAGTCCAGCTCATAAACTTTCACAATCATTTTCATTAGATATTATCGGTGGAAAACCGATTACACTTACAGAAGTATTATACGATTTAATATTTAACGAAAAAAAAAATAATAATAATTAATATTTATTATTTTTTTAGTGTCTATTAAATGGTATTGATACAGTTGTTAAATTACATCAAAACCATACCAAACAACAAATGGATTGTTGTTTTAAATCATTTATATGTTATGCGTTAAAGTATGTTTATGTATTTTATTAAAATGTTGAAGAATAATTTTTAGAACAAATCAATAATATAAAACTTATTTCCATCGAAAACTAATAGGAACTTGAAAACAGAAATATCATCGCAGATTTTTCTTGTTTTCGGTCGAAATCAAGTATAGCTAGTTACTGAATACCAGTAATGTATTCCAATATCCAGGATTCTAAAATTTTTCGGAAGATATCAATAGCTTTTCAATCGAACAATTCAAGATAATGACTGGCCTCGTGAATCAATATTTAACGCTACCATCTTTATGTTATACTTGCAAATGAGATAGGACTGATTATGGAACCATCTGAACTGATACCCTCTGTTTAGACTCATATCGAGCCTACAATGATGCCTTGGTGAGACAAACAGAAGTCTCTATTAGGATTTGTTCTTATGAGTCTTTAGAAGTGACTTAGGCTCGTTTCACTGAATTTTCAATCCTGTTTTAGACATACACCGATAGGTTTTTGTAGGTACACTATGAGCTCAAGCGACGAGTGTCAATTTGAGTACTTCCCTTCGTAAGTGTTTGGAGCAACATTTCTTATTGCAATTAAAATTTTATGAAAGATTTCTTAGTGAGTTATGTTTTTAGCTTTTGTTCTTTCGTGGAACACGATCTAAAAACAATATTGTGTAAAATAATAGAAATGGGGACACCCACCATCAACAAACGTGACAGGAATCTTGATAACGCCCATTTTCCTTCATCACAAACATTAACGGACGTCTCTTCACTGTCACAGATCGTGACAGATATTTTAGTATTGTTACTCCATTCTGTGTACCATCGTAGGTATATGCGCGAGATCAAATCAGCATGACAGACAGTTGAGTTAAAAATAATTATTCTTATCCTTTTTTTCAACTGATTATAATCTATTGCAATTATCATCTTTCATTATCGACAAGCATTAACAGTAGGTGGTAATTGATAAAACGAAATATTTTTTAATTCCTTTGGGAATGTGTTAACAACTTTCATATATCTAGTATTTAGTTATTTTTTCACGGGAATTCATATATATTTATTTGTTTTTTAAATAAAACTATTTTTTAGTATAATTAGCTATGTGTAAATTTTCATGTAACTGGTAGTTATAAATTACATAGAATCAAGTATGATGAAATTAAAATAAACTTTTGTTTATATGCATATATAATTTAAGTTATGATATAGAAAGAAATCAAATGATTTTTTTTTATTTTAGTGAAAAAAGTCTTGTTTCATTTCTACGTTTGATCCTTAAAACATCAGCATTAGTAGAAAATTATTACCAAACATGGAGTTATACAAGACAAACAGGTATTTATATAATTATTTATATTTTTTTCTAATTAAAAAAAAATATTTTATTATAAAAAGGTTTTAATGATGCTCTTCATTCACTTGATCGTTTAACTTCAATTGATTTTCATCTTCCAATAAATACATCTGTTCGTCGTTTTGTGAATAATCGAGATCTGATTGAATANATTAGTAGAAAATTATTACCAAACATGGAGTTATACAAGACAAACAGGTATTTATATAATTATTTATATTTTTTTCTAATTAAAAAAAAATATTTTATTATAAAAAGGTTTTAATGATGCTCTTCATTCACTTGATCGTTTAACTTCAATTGATTTTCATCTTCCAATAAATACGTCTGTTCGTCGTTTTGTGAATAATCGAGATCTGATTGAATAATCAATTGATTTGATTTGTGCTATATCTAGTCATATATTATTTATATGTTCTTTCATTGTTGATAAATTTTGGACAGGAAATTAAGCAAAAAAAGCGACTATTGTGTGAATATTTTTCTTCTTATTTTATTGTGAAGAAGGAAAAAGAAAATAACCCATGTTTTTCTTTTCATGTCTGTTGCGTTAATCGATGCTATACAATAGAATAGTGATAATAACATTTGTACTTTTTATATATTTTTATGGAACTTATCTCAATTTCATTAATTCTTTTTTCTTTGTCTGTGATTTATTTTATTTGGTATTTATATTTTTTTAAATATTGGTTTTATCTTTAAAAAAAATGTTAAGTCTAAAAAAAAAATTTATTTAATTAAACATATAATTGATTGGTTATTTTTCTTTAGATAATAAAACTTGAATGAATGCAATGGATTCATTTTAGATTAAAGCAAATTTGTTTTATGTGAAATTAATAAGATTAAAACAAACTTCTAATTAAAAAAATATTGTTTTAATTTTATGATTCTTTTTCTTCGGAGTATGTGTCGATGATCTCTTCATTGTTATGTAATATCCTATGTTCATAAAAATCATTCGTTTGACTTTTTAACAGATATTGAAGTTCTGACAGGAGAATAAAAGGTGTCACTTCAGTAAGTATTGAAGTCCCACTTTTTTTCTGTTAGATTCCGAACATACTGTCTGACCAATCTCAAAATTTGTATGAATAGTAAGGCAATATATCGCATCAGATTTCAGTATAAGCAGATGTTGGAACTTGAACCTGTTCGTAGTCATGTATACAGTCGTTTATAAATAAAAATAAACTCTTACGACATTCGACACTTGGGAGTACGTTCTCAAGAGACTGATACTTATCTATGTCTCATTAATTGAACATTTTCTTCTCAGATGAATTCTATTTCGGAAGAGTATAAGATGGCATATCGATTCAACATTCTTTCTTCAGTCTAACATTTTCTAATAAACTTTTATTAATTAGTGATAAGAGTTTGATTGTTCTCATCATCATTTTTGAACAATAGCTTGTATGCTTATCATATTTCAAGTCTCTTCCTGATAAATTTATAATAATATAATTAAATTTTACAATGCAATGTTTAATTGTTGAAAAAAAGAACTTTTTCAAACAATACTTATAATGAGTGTTTAAACATTATCTGATGAAATTACTTTCATTAAAAAATTTAATTATTTTATGATGAATTTATAATGAAAAGACTTAAAACATGACAAGCATATCAAATACATTCTTTTTCATAGATAAAATTAGTTTTTATAATAATTATTTCTTTTTTATCTTTTATGAATTAGTTGAATAATTTATTTTTTTTGACAAATTCACCGAAGTATTCGTGTGTAATAGTATCAATGAATTTAAAAAAAGAAAAACAAGACTCTTCTACATATTTTTGTGTGTACTTAAAAATAACAAAACAAATCTCTAAATGAATTTATTTAAGATTATTTTAGATAAATGGATAATGAATTTATTCCTGCTAGTGACCCAGAAGAAGTAAATATAAAAAGAATATTTTTTACATAATTAAAATTTTTTATATTTACATAAGATTAAAGATTTTCTTCATCATTGTGGTCTAATACCGCTTAATGAATATTATAGTAAGTCAGAAATACTTCGTTTTTTTTTTTATTTTAATGATTATTTTCGTTATAGCACAAGTAAAAAAAATGTTAAAACGTCAACAACTATCATCGAAAACACTCAATGAACAAATACAAAAAAAATTAGCTGAAAATGGTATTCATAAAGATGATTTATCGAAAAATATATCAGTAAAAAAAAAAAATTTACTTCCATTTTTTTTTTGTCTTAAAAAGTTATTATTTTATTTTAGTTATTATGTCCACGAAAACGAACTTCTTTTTCACCAGTTATTACACGTAAACGAGGTAAAAATAAAAAAGAGATTCTCGTTTCTTTTGTTATACATACAACAAGAAAATAATTTCCTTTTTTTTTTAGGAAAAGCAATTAAAAAACGAACACCTTCGGCTACACAAGTATCTACTATAACGACTACAATTATTACACCGACAACAACAGATATTATTGAAATAGTAAGAAAATGAAGTTATTCACAATGTTTTTAATATTTCTATTCAATCTGATTTTCTATAGCCGATAGAAAAAGTAAAAAATGAAGCAAATACAAACGATGATGAACAACCGTTAGATTTGCGTTTACGGACTCAAGCTGTTAATAAATTTTGATAATAAAATTTATCAAACATGTTAATAACAGTCAGATAAATGATTTTGTTTATTCTATGTTTAATAAAAAATGTGTGTTGTTGATACGAAGAGAAGTCCTTTTTTCTTTTCTTAGATTTTGTTTTATCACAATCATAAACGGATATTCAAATCGAGTGATGGTTTCGTGTGATATTCATTAAAACAAATACGTTTGGAAAAAGATAATTTAACAACTTGAATTCTCTATTGGTTTTCATTCTATATGTTTTTTTCTTTTAATTTAAAGAGTACATCATGCGACAGGCTTATTATAATATTAGTTTGTTAGTCCTTACTTTTGTGTTGGATGATGAGGTTGACAGATCCAGTAATGTAAAAAAATGATTAAAAAATGCCAACTTTTTTCCTCCAACAATAAAAGTAAGAGTATTAAAATAAGAATACTTTAACAAATCCTGCAGTCTGATAAACTCTTTGAAATAAAGGAAAAAATTAATATATAGAATGAAGGCGCACAGATGTTTAATTATTTATTTCAATCTTTGTTTGATGAATATTGTCATGAAAAAATATGATGATGTTAAACTGAAAATTTCATAAGATTTGAAGTTGATTAACTGAATATTCCCAAAAAGAACTTGGACATTAAAACACGATAATGATTAATTTCAATGGATGACAAAAAGAATGTTTTTGTAACGATATATATCATCATTTTCGTAAACATCTGCAATGTCAAAAAGATTTACATTTTTATTCTTTTACATATCATAGATGAATTGTAATTAGTTTGACATGTTGTAGATGAATGTCAGTGGGTGTCATGATGGATAGATGAATATGCATAGTATGAAGTCTTACAGTCAAAAACTGAAAAAAACATATAAATATCTACGCCATTTCTAATAATCTCTGGTCGTTTTGGGGATTATTTGTAAAGATCACTTTTATTGATTTTGTATTTCTATGAAAGATTTATTTAGATCTATGATAGAAATTTAATAAATTTATATTTATTTTGTTATAAAGGAAGTACTTATGTATACAATGAACATCTGTCTATCAGATTGTTTTATTCAAATATGATCTGACAAAAGCTAGGTAACAGTTTTGATATAATTGTGTTATATTCAACGATTGAAGAAAAATCATAAAGAAATTAATAAATATTATTTTATTTATGCATAAAATTTTGAATATTTTATACCGATTTACCTTTCAAACAAAACAAATTGTTACTAAATATATATTTACAATTACATTTCAGCTCATAATAATATTTCAATATTGATTTGTATTTTATATGGCTTCACGCATTTTCGGATTTTCTAGTTTTTCATTGATTATTACTGAAGCAAAGTTAATTAACTTTGTGAGAATTGTACTTATTTACATTTAAGTTCTTTCATGTCACATCAAATTATTATCATTCGCTAAAGATAAAAAATAATGCACAATATCCGTGAATTCCCCTATGATAATTTCGTTTGCTAAGGAACGTCAAGATAATATTTTCTTGTTGGAAAAAGAAAACAAGACGAAAGTGTTTTTGTTCTTTTTTTTAATTAAATCAAATTAGCCTTTTTTTTTTGTTTCACCCATCACAATATGACAGTATTAACATTTTTAATTCAATATAAACAATATTGACGAAAGAAAATGTAACAAGAAAATCTTATTAAAACACATTTCTAATAATCATTCTTAATTTCATTAAAAAGAAATAAACATACATTGATGAATATTAATCTTTTTATCGTTTCTATCTTGTCCAAGATTATTCTATTTTCGTCAATAACTCAACAAAAAGATTCCATTAATAAACATCTGTCCTTCGTTATCTGTCCCTTATTTAAGAACTAAATATTGATTCTAATTATACATATTCTACAAGGCATGTTTTTTTTTTATAAAACTAAACATGAAACCAGAAATGTATGCATGCGCTTCTTCAAATATTAATGTATTCTATCGTGGTTTGAAAAAAAAAATGCCCCCGCTTAATGACATTCATATAATCAAAAGGTATACATTATTATATATGTAATATATAGGCTTCAGATGAGTATGTGGCAAAAGTGTTGAAAAAAATGTTTCTCACTACTTGTACTGTGAGACAATGAAGAAACAAGGATCGTCCGATAAATAATTTCTTCTCTACTAAGTAAAGCTATTATTTTTGCCTTTTCTTTTCTTCGTCTTTTTTTTTCAGCTCATCAGAACCGGGTTTTTGACAGGCGGGAGTAATGCTACAACGATCTTAGTCTTTTTTTTCTTGTTTTATTCTCTCTATTAGAAGAGAGAAGAGCGAGAGAGAAAAAAACTACACACACGTACATTATATATTCTCTCCATAAAATATGCTACTCTCTTGTGTACCCATTAGACAGTTAAGAGGTGTGGATACTCATTAGTGGTTTATTGACAACGACAATAAAGTAACCGGTCAACTAATTTTCTTTTAATAATACTCGAAAACTACAACGAAATCAATAGTATTTAAAACGAAGTGACTGCGTCATAAATAAATTTTTCATTAATCATCTAGGTATGTTGATGAACAATTCTATTCGTATCGTTTTTTTTTTCTGCTTATGAAATCTTACATTTCAAAAGTCACTGACAAAAGGAAATAATTATCATGCTATTCGTAATCGTAAAAGCATAACAAAACAATAGAACAAAATAAGGAAAAAAGAAACGACATATCAAAGAAGAATAATCGGCAATTTCTTTTTTTTTTTTATAAAACTTCTAAG